AATAATAATAATAATAATAATAATAATAATAATAATAATAATGATAATAATAATAATAATAATAATAATAATGATAATAGTAATAATAATATTAATATTAATAGTAATAATAGTAATAATAATAATAATAGCCATAATAATAGTAATAATAAATAATAGTAATAGTAATAATAATATATGGTCATATTAATTGTTGTATAATTAATTACCATATTTGTTAAGTGATAACGATTATAGCAAATAGCAACTAAATCCTACATCATAATCAATTGCCATTCCATTCGTAAAATGATCACTGAAATAATTTAATTGCGACATTTAAAGATGACATCAGACCAGAAACGATTAAATTATGAACGGCAGGATATATATCAGGATGTTCTACATTCATTGAATTCTTGATTTTAAGAGTATCCTGGGAAGCTTTTTCTTCTATCGGAATCATTCATTAACATGAAGTTGTTGTTCATTACAAAAAGGTCAAAATTCTAGAAAGTTCGAATAATATATCATCAAAAGGATGTGAAATTTTGATTAAATATTACCATGATATCATAATATTAAATGATTTATTCTCAAGTAATTCATCACTTCTTATTCACTATCACTTACAAAACTCATAAATGTTTGGTAACAATAAAATGATTTACAAGAAATACATAATTCAATAATTTATATTTCACAAATAATTAACATTGATACCTTGGATATTTAGAACTCTTGGATAATTTGATTTAGCAAACATTTATTGTTACAAGAAAATAATACCTCAATTATTTTTGTATGAGATTTTCTTTTTTCCCTCATTTTCATCCTTCATTAAACCTTTCGATTATTAATTTCGGTTAATAATTAATTCCTCACCTAATGAATTCAATTTAAATTTGATAAAATATGATAGAAAATGGATAAAATGAAATAATCCTATCAAAATGTTAGTAAATAATTAATTATATATTGGATTATCATCGATATGATATAATTTATCATTTGTTTGTTATTACACAAATATTTGATAATTAATTTGAATATTTCATATTTTTCTTTCAAATATTTAATATTCAAATAAATCATCGCATTCTTTCGTTTTCTACTCCTCCTTCTTCTTTTTTTTTTTTTTTTTTTTTTCTTCTTTTTCGTTTTCTTCTTTTTTTTTCCTTTTTTCTTTTTTCTTCTTCTTGGTCATCATCACAATACAATTTTATGATACAACAATATTTCGAATCGAATCCAATATCGCAACATCTACCGTATTATATAACATATCATTATCATCATCATCATCATCATCATCATCTCTTTCCTCTCCTTCACTATTTCTATCATCTTTTATTTCTCCTTCATCCTTCCTTTTCTCCTCCTTTCCTCCCCCGATTCCCCGCTTCCCGCTTCTCATCCTTTTTCCCCCTTACTCATTCATAATATTGCTGCTCTATTTTTGAACCATTAACATTTATCAAAAGTTAATCTGTTGACTTTTCACCGTATTTTTAACAATATTATCATTAATACACTATGATATCTTTCACTGATAAAACTATCATTGATAGATAGGTATAGGTAGATAGATCGGTATTTACATATATCATTGCAATGACCATTGATAAATGATATTCTGATAATTTTATAAGGTATAATTGATTGATATGAACTGTGTTGAATTATTGTTTGTAACGTTTATTATTTGATGAATCAGTCCTTCATAAGTATGAATCACTTACAAGGAAAATATAAATTTAGCTTATCAGGGAAAGCGCAAATTATTGTCAAACAATGATTATTCAGTAATATTTTATGATTCATTAATGATGACAAATTTTTGTGTTGTTTATAAATCGAAATTTTTATATCGAACTAGTTTAATTTGAAATTTGTTAATTTGTTAAATTAAGCGATGAGCAATGAGTTTTAGTAATTTAATTAAATTTTTATTTTTCTTTAGTCTTTTCTCTTTTTTTTTTTTTTTTTTTTTTTTTTTTTGTTTCACTTCTCATACTTCGGTTAGATTTAATATCACTGCTGATAAATTGTTCTAATTAATGAATGGATTATAAGATAGAATTAAGAAAATCAATATCATTAAATTCTTGTTCAAGATGATGTGAGTGTGAAGTTGAATTATTGCTGATCAATAAGTTGTACTAAGCGATCGTATGATTTGGTCTGTAAAAAGTTTAAAAATTAAAATTAATAATTCCTTCCAAAAAGTAAAATTTTAATCAACAAAAATATAAAAAATAAATAAATAAATCATGAATCGGCACTTCTTAAAATTATCATTAGAATCTTTTAGCGATAAATTATTGCTAAATGTGATGATAAATTAATTTCACTTTAATTGTTTTCACCGTCTCACTCATTAATTAACTTATTTAATTGCTAAATACTGTCTAAGGTTCTAATTTTCTGTTTCATTTTAATTAATTGAATAGTAGCATATTTCATTCATTTATTTATTTGTGATATGAAACAGATGATGATGATGCTCCTTGAAATGATGTCGCAATAATAATATAAATCTTCTACAGGTACCTCAAGGATAAGTTCAGTTGCAATCATCGATATGACCTTTGACAAACTTCACAAATACTGATTGGAATATGTTTGTATCTTTTATCCAAAAATTTTTCCATAGCTTTTCGATTTACGTTGAACAATCGTTGTAGATATATATATTATATATTGGATGTTCGATCTTGTCACTCCTCTTGTCCCCCTCCCCTTCCATTTTCCCTTTTCATCCTGTCTTCTGAGCTCCTCCTCTTCACCTGAAATGGCCTTGTATCTCCCGTACTGGCTCTATTGTTCATATTGTTTATCATTGCAAGGTAATTGTACCTCCAAAATCTACCTTTACAATTATCCCTTATCTTCGCCATCTCATTCATTTCATTTCATTTCTCCTCATGTCCTAAATAACCATCATCATATTGCAACAAATCTATGCTATATCGTCATTTTTATTTTTCTATCCATTTAAAAGTATCTTTTATAAATTTAAACTTTGTTAGCAATTAGTTACGATTAAAAAAAGAAAAACTAAAAAGAATAGAAAAATTGCTTTAAAGGAATGGCAAACAGGTAAATATTGACAGTTTTCAATCAAAAAAAATCATTTAACTTCTAACCAAACTGAAATAAAAAATTGCTTAACTTCAAACTAAAATAAATGTTTGAATGATTGAAAAGACGACAGAAATTTGTCATCGTTTTAACATTGATCGTTTTGGAAATTTTGAAACACAGTTTTGCTTCACCCATTCATTGTGATTGTATGTTAGGGCGAAATGATATCGTGCGGATTAAACATACTTTTAAATTTTCACGTTTAAATTTATGGTTTTCTCAAATGAAGGATTGTTTCTTGAACTTTTCGACATCCAGTAAGCTATGTTAGCTTTGAAAAGTAAAATGTCAGAAATTTTAAAAAAAAAAAAAATAGCCATGTTAATGGATAAATAATACACTAACGCTTATCATTAGCACTTTAAAAAGACAAGTAACATGAACTATTAATAGATTCTTTTGCTTCTGGATAAAAAATAATATTTAATTATAACTTTAATCAATTATTACAATGGTTTTTCAAAATAAATTGAAATATTTCTTTTCTTTAATTAAATCCGTTTTGATTATTGGTAGAAGTCAATATTTCTTATTGGTGAAAATACATCATTTATACCTTCACTTCATATTTACGATGATAATCACTGGCTGATATAATTAATTAATACATTTTTTTTTGAAATGATGTATTGTTTTGCAGTATCTAACCCTAATTGTTGCAATTAATTATAACCACTATCGTTATTATGCAGATAATAAAAATCATTATTCCTGATTGTTATTATTACTACTATTATTGCCACTATTTGTTACTACTATTACAATTATTTTCGTTATTACCACTATTATTATTATTATTATTATTGCTATTATTATTATCATTATTGTTATTATTATTATTATTATTATTACTATTATTATTATTATTATTAT